TGACCAGTAAGGCACGAAGAATCCTAAAGTGAAGCGTTTATTGGGTGATTTTAGTTGCTCCCAATATCTGAGCTGCTCGCCTTGCTCCAGTGTGTCATTATTGGAATAAGAAGTAATCAGAAAACACAAAAAAGAGACAAGTGCGAATGCTCTTGTACATATGCTTCCCATTCTTCATCAAATTTGTAGAGCAAAAGAAATGTTGATTCTAGCTATATATTAAATTCTTCCAAACTGGTGTGGCTTCCACCATGTTGAAAGGAAAGAAGAAGGAAGCCTCACGCTGAACTTACCCGGACAGGCGGTTCCGTGATGTGAATGTGTTTACCAACTACTTTCCGCGTGAACTGTCTTCCTCAATGAACCCGGTCAGAGCATGTGTATTGGGGATATTCAAAATTCTCCATTCATATGATATTGTTATAATTAATATTATTTTATTTAAATTTATGTTTTTATATATTTAATTTTAAAATAAAACACTTAATAAAATACTTTTTCTCTAATACTTAGAGCTTCGCGGCTTCGCCCCTAAAGTACTTTACGCAGTAGATCCACTATTAAGTTAGGCAAAACCATATAGTAAGTCCCTAAACTAACTCAAGATTAATTATTGAGCTCTTAGACTTTAATTGATATATATATTAGCTCTTAAACTCTACAATTTGAGTAATTTAGCCCTTAATTCTTTAATTATTGTAAGAATAAGGGCTACATTGCTATAAGTATAAGGGCTAAATTGCTCAGATAGTGAAATTTAGGAGTTTATATACATCAATTAAAGGCTTAATTTGATTATGCTACCTACAGTATTTTTTATAGATATCTACATAATTTTTTATAATTTATGCATTTGGTAAATTATCTATTCCTACTTTTTCAAAAAAAAAAAAATTCATCTTATCCAAAATTAATAGAATTCCTAAATAATTCAATAAAATTTCCAAATCTTTTTTTTTCATACATTATATATTAAATTATTAATTAATTTAATTTTAAATAATAATATGTTCAATTGAGTAATTTTATAATAAATAGTTTTTTTAAATCCAATTACCAAATACTAAAATATTTTTTGTGACAATATATCATAACACTTGTAACCGTTATAGTTATAAAATAGTATCAGATTGCATTGTTAAACTAAGTAAAAGTTTAAGGATTCAATAGCAAATCGAAAGTTAATTAGGAGATTTAACATATGATTTTATCTTGAAGGTTGGTAACTATAGTAGATCTGTAGTAAAATGATCAAATCTATCGATAAAATTAGGTAAGAAGGTAATAAGAAACCTATCATTAACAAAATAATAATAATAATAATACAAAAAAGAAAAAACACAAAAAAATTTTGAGTTAGATAAATTACTTATTGATTGATGTGTAACCTCATGTGATCTCATAAATCTAATGATGTGGATACTTTGAACACATTGGAGCTATTTCTATGATTTTGACGTTGGTATGTCTCAAAATTATTGGTTGCATTTATTTTATATAAATTTTATATATTATATTTATATAAAATTTTTATTTTTTATTTTTTATTTTTAATAATTAAAATTTTATATAAATATAATATGTAATATTTATAAGTAAATTTTATTTAAAATCATTTGTTTTCCAAAATCAGCCTTCAATAGAATTTAAATTTACATAAAATTGCCAGACCATCCCCTTTTCCTCATCCGTGGTCCTTTTCCTCTTCCTCTAAGTTTCCGCGTCCTCCACCACTGTGTACGATTGTCAGACAGTGGGTTCGGGGAAAGTATGCAAACTTAGCCGCTATGGACGACGGTGCCCCAACCATTTCACACCACAAAAAGCAAATTCAAAAAATAAAATTAACCCAAGCTTTTAACTTTAGGGAATCGACAAATTTTTTCCAAGCAAGGCTTAAATGTTTCAGCCAATATTCGGAAAACGCTTGAGACAATATTTTCCAAATTATCACCGGGTTTCAAACTGCAAGGACAGAAGTAGAGCATTACAGTTTCATTGTGTTTTGAGCGTTTTGTTAGTGTAAAATACATTCAAAATAGAAAATAAAATAAAATAAAATAAAAGAGGAGAATTTGATGATACCCTTTCGTTGTAATCAAGCACTAAAATATAGGAAATATTAGAATTTCAATTCCAAGTTTTTCTAAGTTAGCTTTCTTAAATTTTTGGTTCATTTACAATATTTTGAACTCAACTTGTACTAATTTTTTCCGCTTAAAATGGGTATTTACAGATTTATGAACGAACCAAGCCTGGATTCTTTAAG